GACAACTTCCACATTACATTTAACTATGTGAAGAGAATGAGCTAGTAGCAAACTTTAATCAACGTACACTAAGGAACAAGCGCCAAGTGCTGACGTCATCTTGTTCATTGTCTAGCAGGCTCACCAAGAATCGACCCTATCTCTAACTTCAAACCCGTTGACCAGTACCCTTCTCGACTTGAATCAGACTTGCAGCCAGACAACTTTTGCCCAGCACCTTTGGCTAGTACACTGTNCTAGTACACTGTGCCCTGGGTTCCAGGCATCCACACTTTTTTTATGTGTACTCTTACACACTTTTTTGTATTTAGTGCTGGCATGCTTGAACCTGTACTTTTCAATCATTGGTCTGTGCTTGTCATCGGAATTAGTAAGTTTATCATTTTCTTGGGGGCTATGCAATGACGACGTCGGTCCAATTTTTGGCGTGTGACCTGGTGAACTGTTTGTCCATTTTGTAGCTCTTTAGGAAAAAGGTAGGCTAAAACTGTAAACAATGGATTCCTCCCTGCTAAAAGTTTGAAGTTATTCATTCTTAGTGCTACAAATACCAAAGTAAGCAGTGTAATTTACACTCACTCTGCCAATTGTTTCTAACTTAGTGGCACGTGTACTTTATTCTTATTAAACTTCTTCTCAACTAGTTCACACGTTATCAGGCACGATCGCCATAGAGGCCAAGCCTGGCAAAGTGCTCTACAACGGGAGTAACTATCGCTCGTAGAAGATAGCTTTGGAGACCGCACTTTGAGCTGCTGGTCGGGAGAGCACCATTACTGACTCCTTGGTGGTGGCTGACAACAACAAAGCCATGAACATCGTAATGGCTATGATGACCGAGGAGAAAATCATTCTGTTGGAAAATGTCCGCGATGTCCTTGGTGCCCTCTTGGCAGTTTCAAATGACCGAGCTCGGGAGTCACCTGCAGTGCGCTACAAGGTGCAGCGCAAGTTGATCGGCCTCAAACTCGACGGCAAGGGAAAGATGAAGCAGTATCTTGACCAGCTTGAAAATCTGGTTCGCCAGTATCGTATGGCTGGAGGACAGTACAAAAACCGCAAAGTGCTGTCAATGATTACTGCTGATCTAGGGGAATCCTCCTTGGTGGTTATCCTGGCGTTCGGAAACACTACTTTTTTCTAATGCCAAAATAAAGCTACTCGAGACTGATGTCGTCAATGCCTTTAAAGTCAACTGAAGAGCACCAAATGCTGCTGGCAAGCAAGATGGAAAAGGCAAATGAAAAGGATGATGAAGATGAAGAGCTGCGTGCCCAACTTGAAGCACTGAAATTAGAATTGAAAAAGTGTGACCAGCAACCAGCTCGTTTCGGAGGAAAATGCTTCAACTGCAACATCTCCGGGCATCGAGCCGCTGAGTGTCGTCGCCATGTGCCAAGCAAAGCTGACTGTAAATGTGCCAAGTGCCTCAATAAAGCTACTGCTCAGTATCATGTGCCTCCAATGATTGACAACGTCATCACTAAGGACGTTTGTGTCAAATGTGTGCTAGACAGTGGTGCTACTGGCCATTTTTGTGATGGCACCATCGCTTTAGAAAACTTCAAGGCTACGTCAAGTCTGACTGTGTCAATGGCCAATGAGCAGCACAGTTACGCGAAAGGCAGTGGTGACTACTTCAACAAGGATCTCAAATTAAAACTGAAAAATGTTAAGGCAGTCAACTCGTTGAAACAAGGCTTCATCTCAGTTGCCAAACTCACTGACTGTGGCTACACTGTCATCTTTGATCGAGCTGGAGCAAACATCATGTTTGATGAAAAAGTGTTGGCTCGTGTGCCACGTATTGGCAATTTTTATGCCATTGCGTCAACTGCCGGAGGGCCACCGCCAGAGTCAGTGCAATCTCTGTTGGCAGTCACAAGCTCAGAGACTTGGCACCGACGACTGGGCCACACCGGGATGGAAAAGATGAAGCAGCTGAGCACTTGCGTTCTCTTGGTGTTGGCCCCCTGGCTGGTCACTGCGACGCCTGCAAAAGGGGATTTATTGATTGATTGATTGATTGATTATTATGCGATTAGCAAGTAGTAGGCTATTTTTGCAAAGTAATGTTAACAATGTAAGTCAAAGTGTTCAAAATAAACATTTAAATTGTCAGCCGTTTGGAGTAAGTTGTGTCTGATTCAGTATCCTATGCACATGAGCTCTGTAGAGAGGGCAGCTCTCCGTGTTTGGGTAGTGGTCCTTGTTGTTTTGATGCTTGGACGATGCTTCGCAGTTAGTGCAGCACTGGAGATGCGGTCATTGATGACCAGTAGTCCTTTCTTGCCCGCACACCTTGCAGGTCTGTTTGTGCTTGTAGTCGCCGGTCTTGTGGTCGAAGTGGTAACAGCTTTGGCACTGCCTGACGAACACTATGCTGAACTGCACAAAGTTTTGTGTCCAGGCGAATTAGGCCGTTCAGGTTGGGGAAGATCAAGTTGAAGACGTTGGGCTTTACTCTTAAAGCAAGGCTAATGGTGCCTGGTCTAGAGAAGCGCCTTTTGAGTTGGAACATGAACTCAAACTCCCCATCGAGGTCGTTCAGTTTGTCGTTTTTGTCGCAAATCTGCTCCGCAATTGTGGTTAGGTCTTCGTCTACGTCAATGTCCTTGATCACTACTGTGGGCCTCATCCTCCTCGACTTGTAGGCCTGGAACTTGTTTTTGTTCTAGTTAATTTTTTCCACCAGTTTGTCACTGTCCTCTGATCTTTCTGCTTTGATCAACACCACCTGCAAAAGGAGAAAGTCAAAACAGAGTCCCTACCGTCGCAGTGACTCCAGAGCTTCACAACCTCTGGAGTTGGTTCTCATGAACCTGGCTGGGCCACATACTGTCACTGGTTTCGATGGGTCGCGGTACTTTTTCGGTTTTNTCTCATGAACCTGGCTGGGCCACATACTGTCACTGGTTTCGATGGGTCGCGGTACTTTTTCGGTTTTCGTCGACGACTGCACTCGTCATATCGCAGTGTACTTGCTTAAAGACCGAACCCAGGCGCTGCTGGCATTTA